GACCTGCATACAGATTTCTCAGGAGGTAGGTCAGGTGGTCTGGTATTCCCCACTCTTAACGCATTTTCCACGGTTTGTTGGGACCCACGCAGTCAAAGTTTTTGAAATAGTCTATAAAGCAGAAGTAGATGTTTTTCTGGAACTCTCTTGCTTTTTGATGATCCAGCGGATGTTGGCAATTTGATCTCTGGTTCCTCTGCCTTTTCTAAATCCAGCTTGAACATCTGGAAGTTCTCAGTTCACGTACTGTTGAAGCCTGGCTTGGAGAATTTTGAGTATTACTTTGTTAGCATGTGAGATGAGTACAATTGTGTGGCAGTTTGAACATTCTTTGGCATTGCCTTTCTTTGAGATTGGAATGAAAACTGCCCTTTTCCAGTCCTGTGGCCACTGCTGAGTTTTCCAAATCTGCTAGCATATTGAATGCAGCACTTTCACAGCATCATCTTTTAGGATTTGAAATAGCTCAACTGGAATTCCATCGTCTCCACTAGATTTGTTTGTAGTGATGCTTCCTAAGGCCCACTTGACTTCACATTCCAGGATGTCTGGCTCTAGGTGAGTGATCACACCATCGTGGTTATCTGGATCATGAAGATCTATTTTGTATAGTTCTGTGTATTCTTGCCACCTCTTCTTAATATCTTCTGCTTCTGTTAGGTTCATACCATTTCTGTCCTTTATTGTGCCCATCTTTGCATGAAATGTTCCCTTGGTATCTCTAATTTTCTTGAAGAGATCTCTAGTCTTCCCCCTTCTATTGTTTTCCTCTGTTTCTTTGCATTGATCACTGAAGAAGGCTTTATTATCTCTCCTTGCTGTTCTTTGGAACTCTGCATTCAAATGGGTATATCTGCCTTTCACATCTTTTCTTTTCCTTGGACAGCCATTTTGCATTTTTGCTTTTTTTTTTCTTGGGGATGGTCTTGATCCCTGCCTCCTATACAGTGTCATAAACCTCCATCCATAGTTCATCAAGCACTCTATCAGATCTAGTCCCTTAAATCTATTTCTCACTTCCAGTGTACAATCGTAAGGGATTTGATTTAGGTCATACCTGAATGGTCTAGTGGTTTTCCCTAGTTTCTCTAATTTAAGTCTTCATGTTGATAGTTTGCAGTAAACCTCTTGGGCTCTTTCAGGCGTACAGTCATGTCATCCACAAATAGTGATAATTTCACCTCCATTTCAGTTCTCATACTTCTTCCTCTTTTATTGCATTAAGTAGTACATGTTGTGGGCTTCCCGGGTAGCTCAGCTGGTAAAGAATCTCCCTGCAATGGGGGAGACCCTGGTTCTATTCCTGCATTGAGAAGATCCCCAGGAGAAGGGATAGGCTACCCAATCCAGTATTCTTGGGCTTCCATGAATTGCTCAGACACGAGTGAGCGACTCAGCACAGCACATGTTGTATGCTAATAGTTGTGATAGTAGTCATCCTTGTTTTATTCCTAGGTTAAATTCGTATCTCATTTCCTATTAAGTTTGATGCTGGCTTGTGGGTAAAGAAATAGCCTTCTGGTTTTATTTTACTAGGAATTTTATCAGGAATGGATGTTAGTTTTAGCAAGTGATTTTTTAGCATCTGTGGAGATGACTGTATGATTTTTCTCTAAAGAGTTATTAGTAGTGAGTTGTATTAATAATTTTAACAGTTGAGCTATCCATACATTCCACAGAGTTATAGTGTAGTATTTCTTTACATTGATACTGGATTGTATTGCTAATATCATTAGGGCTTAGACGTTGGTATTTATGAGAAAAATCTAGTTTTCTGTGTGTATGGGTGTGTGTATAGATTTTGTCTTACTTTGGTGTCACTGTTGTATTTGCTTAGTTTTTTAAAAAATAAATTCTTTTTCTGTGTTTTGGAGTAGTTTAATATTGGTGTTTTCTGTACTTTACACATTTGGGAATGATCTGTGAAGCTCTCCAGGCCTGGTGCTTTGTGGGTGTGGGGGACTTTCTCCGATTTTTCTAACTTATTTGCTTAGCTTTCCCATCTCCTTTGGAGTTCAGTTCAGTCCCTCAGTCGTGTCCGACTCTTTGTGATTCCATGAACTGCAGCACGCCAGGCCCCCCTGTCCATCACCAACTCCCAGAGTTTACCGAGACTCATGTCCGTTGAGTCGGTGATGCCATCCAACCATCTCATCCTCTGACGTCCCCTTCTCCTCCTGCCTTCAGTCTTTCCCAACATCAGGGTCTTTTCAGATGAGTCAGCTCTTCGCATCAGGTGGCCAAAATGTTGGCATTTCAGGAGTTAGTGTGGATAAGTTATATTTTCCTAGAAAAATAATTCACTTTATCGACTACAAATTTACTTGTATGCAGTTAAACAATGTGTTCTCTTATTATTATTTTAATTACTGCTGTGTATTTGGTATTTGTTATTTCTCGATTAGTTATTTGCTTTGCTATTTTTTCCCTGAAGAAAGACCTATTGGTCTCATGTACAGGCTGATTTGTTCAGGTTTTATGACTGTACCGTGGGCTTCCCTGGTGACCCAGACAGTAAAGAATCCACCTGCAGTGCAGGACACCTGGGTTCGACCCCGGGGTCAGGAAGACCCCCTAGAGAAGAGCGTGGCTCCCCTCTCCAGTGTTCTTGCCTGGAGAATCCTTTGGACGGAGGGGCCTGGTGGGCTGCAGTCTCTGGGGTCGCAGAGAGTCGGACCCGACTGAGCAACTAGTACACACACATTTTCTTAATTTGTATTCTCTCTGCTGTCATTTCTTAGTTGAAATCAAAGAATGACAAGAGAGCCATAAAATTTTTACTCTGCATATTTCCCAGGTACTTCACCGCTTTTTCCTTCTTCTGCCATAGGGATTAAGGAAGGAAACGGTTCTATTGATGTTGTGCTTATTCTGTGGCATTCTCAACTCAGATTCTGTTCCCGTGAGATTAACTGAAAATGTTACAATTAAATAGAAGCGGAACCAAGTGCCAATGTGTTGTTTAATTGATAAAGTTTGTGAAATTGTTTTGTCCGATTTCAATTCTGGGACACTTAAGTATATTTTAAGAAATATACTTGTGGATTTAAATGATGAAAAATAAGGTTTTTATTTCATTCTGTTGTACAAAAGTTTATAGAACTAATTTTCATTAAAAATTTAAAAGTTAAATTAGTATTTCAGAAGAGTTTTCATTTAAATTTGTTTATGAGCTTTTTAACTTTAAGAACAAAATGCATTCTACCTCTTGAATTTTGCTTAAAATGGAGCTGATACTGTTTGTTTTAATTTAGACTTCAGGGCTTTGGGGTGGGGAGCAGTAAACAAAACCGAAATACTTAGAATATTTAAGAGACAGAGGGTTTCCCTTGTGGCTCATCTGGTAAAGAATCCGCCTACAATGTGGGAGACCTGGGTTCAATCACTGGGTTGGGAAGACCCCCTGGAGAAGGGAGCAGCTATCCACTCCAGTATTCTGGCCTGGAGAATTCCATGGACTGTATAGTCCGTGGGGTTGCAAAGAGTTAGACATGACTGAGCAGCTTTCACTTCACTTCACTTCAAGATACATAGAATATCCCCCACTCCCCTAATTTCACAGAATGTGAAAACTCAGTGAATGTTTTTTCACCCAGTGATTACAGGAAATAAAAGGTAAACAGATTTAAATGCCAGTAGGACAAATTTTTTTTTTAATACTTTGATCTGTGGGGCCATTTAAAAATTTTTAATGTGGCTTTTATTTTTATTATTTTTTTTTTTTAATTTTTCATTTATTTTTATTAGTTGGAGGCTAATTACTTCACAACATTGCAGTATGTTTTGTCATACATTGACATGAATCAGCCATGGAGTTACATGTATTCCCCATCCCGATCCCCCCTCCCACCTTTTTTTTTCTTTTTCTGCCATCACATCCCCATGTGACAGCAGTCACGACCCGAATCTGAAGGTCATTTCAGGAAGGAATTGTTTTGTATCTGCTGTGGATTCTCTTCGGTTCAGTTCAGTTCAGTCGCTCAGTCGCGTCTGACTCTTTGCGACCCCATGGACTGCAGCACGCCAGGCGTCCCCGTCCATCACCAAGTCCCGGAGTTTACTCAAACTCATGTCCATTGAGTCGGTGATGCCATCCAGCCATCTCATCCTCTGTCTTCCCCTTCTCCTCCTGCCACCAGTCCCTCCCAGCATCAGGGTCTTTTCCAATGAGTCATTTCTTCGCATCAGGTGATCAGTGTATTGGAGTTTCAGCTTCAGCATCAGTCCTTCCAATGAACACCCAGGACTGATCTCTAGGATGCACTGGTTGGATCCCCTTGCAGTCCAAGGGACTCTCCAGAATCTTCTCCAGCACCACAGTTCTCAGCTTTCTGCTGCACACAAACCCCCATCGCAGGTGGAGACTGTCATGTCCGCGCTGATAGGCAGGAGTGGGGTTAATGTCGGTGTTCTCCGACTTCAGGGTCTTCGGAGAAGTGATGAATGGTCTGCTGCAGAGTCCTTCTTGTGCTGGACTGTCCACCAGCGTGCGAAGCAGGATGGTGGGGCGGGGTGGGGGGCGGTGGGTGCTGAGGGGTGGCCACCGGGCTCGCTGGGCAGAGGACATCCCTCTGAGCCGCTCATGCCTTTGCCAGCGTGTCGTCATCTTAGCGTCACCGAGCAAGAAGGTGAAGAAGAGGGTCTTCCCGGCGTCATGTTCCTTCTGAAGGGGTCATTGTACACACGCCTGTGCCTGGCGGCTCTGAATCTGCCATCCCCCAGGCCCTGCTCTTTGCCCTTTTGAAACCGGACCTGTGTTGGGATTCTCCAGTGGGAATCAGCTGTGTCCGGAAGGTGGTGGGGGGATGAGATCCCTCCCCCCGAGACCCCCCAGGGCCGGGCCTTCCCCTCTGTGACATCCGGGCATCTGTCTGTGACAAGTGCCCGCTGAGCGTCTTCATCTTGGACCACATTGATGGTTCCAGAGCCCGACTTTGCTGGTGAACCAGGCAGATGAAAGAGCCGTGCTAACATGTCGGGTGGCTGTGTCTCCTCCCCAGGAAATGCTCTCCGGGGTGGTGGTCATATCTGGGAAGGACTCGGTCCAGCACCAGGGCCTCTCCCTGACGGTGGAAGGAACGGTGAACCTGCAGCTCAGCGCCAAGAGTGTGGGGGTGTTCGAAGCCTTCTATAATTCCGTGAAGGTGAGAATGCTCGACTTGCACGTCTTGAGTTCCTTTTCCAAATGTTTGGGGTTGGTTTGCACGTGCTGTCTTAGCTTCTCTGTTGTTATTTTGCCAGGAATGGTGGCAGGCGTGCTTTTGCGACTCGCTAATCAAATGGAAAAACACATGCAGATATTTTGATTCTGAGTATATGCTGTTATTGAAAGTCTGCTTGTTTTTATTCCCATTAGACAGGGTTAGGGGGACTTGAGGGGGATACCTTCAACCCTTACAGAGCCCAGAGCGCTCTGGGAGGTTGTGCCTGGGCCTTCTCCCCACTCCCCTTCCTAAAGCAAAACCGTTATTATAACTGTTATTTTCGTCCAGCTGCGTCCAGGTAAGACGCTAGTGGACACCTTCTTTCCTGTCGCCTGAGATTCTGTGTTCTAGGAGGTAAACTTTCTGCTGGACTTAGTTTCCTTTTTCTGAAGGGCAGATTTTTTTAAGTTCTGAGGAGGGAGTTTAGGGGAAAGAAGGTTCCTAGAGGGCATGCAGATTTCAGGGCCTGTCCACGTGTCCCCGCAGCTTTCCTCTTTTCTTCCGTCAGCACTTGCGAGACTCACTTCCAGAGTTGTGGATTTCCTCGGTGTGGTGGTAAACCCAGGCTCAGCGTGCCTCCCCTCAGGAAGGTGTAGCGCCTGCTGTCGAGGCACGTGTGAGAACAGCCTGGCTCCCAGGGCCCGGCCACGGAGCCTGCCCGGCTGCCTGGGGCAGGGGCCCGGGGGTTGGGGTGGGGAGCAGGGGGCTCTGCTCCTCCCCAGGTTCCTTGCAGTGCTGCAGGTGGGGGTACACCTCAGAGGGGGTGTTAGGGGGCGGTCAAGCTGAGATACTTGGGGATAAGAGATGGAAATGTACCAGTGCATTTCCTACTTGTTCCCAACACCACAGCGTCCAGTCCTAAAAATGAATCCAGCTTGGGCAGGGCCAGGCTGCCCACAGCAGCAGGATGGTAGCAGCTGAGTGGGGGCCGGGGGTGGGGGCAGCGCCGGGTCTCCCAGGAAGTGATTTTCTAGACACGGTCACATGACCGGGAGCACGGGCTGATGGACCGACTTGTGCGTTTCCTTGCAGCCCATCCAGGTCATCAACAGCACCATCGAAATGGTGAAGCCAGGAAAATTTCCCGGCGGCAAAACAGAAATTCCTTTCGAGTTTCCGCTGCACGTGAAGAGTAACAGAGTTCTGTACGAGACATACCATGGCGTGTTCGTCAACATCCAGGTGCGTGTCCTGACTTCTCTTCGGCACGACGACTTCTCTTTGTGTCACTGAAAGTTCTTCGGCCCAAGAACTTAACGCCGTAGGCATTGCTGAGCGCCTCCCATGTATGTTGTGTGCTGATTTCTCATCTTGCCCTGCAGAACATAGTGCGTATATGGAAATAGGACCATTATCCTTGATGGAGGCCCTGGAGGACCCACACCGTAGCTGCTCTTTAGGAATCCCGTTGTTTCTCTGGGGCTCTGTGCAGGCCGCGCTGACACCATCGGGGGGTGCTTTTATTGTTGGTAATAGATACGCCCTCACGTCTTTCTGGTGCCCGCACCGGCTTGTCTGTTTCGAACGTATAAATATCTCTTTGTTTCATACCCAAAGGCTACCGCTCTGACATAGGCTTGTATTCTTTATTGAAGAGCCCGTGTAAATGAGTGGGGGGAGGTGGATTTATGACTTCCTGTCCACCTCTGCCGGTTCAGGATGTCTGTCACAGTCCCCATTGTTGTCTCAGGCGCAGTTTGGAGTCATGACTCAGAGCGAGAGAAAAAGAGCCTTTCCTTTATTCGCTGGAAAGAAAGGTACTTTTGTGATATCAGCCTTGCAGCCGGTCCCTCGCCGGATGAGACAAAAGCATTTTGTCTTACGTGTGCGCAAGAGGCTGGCAGTTAGGAAATTTTTTTGATTTATTAAGTTTTAGCTGAAAATTTAGTTCTGGTAGAGACGATTCCCCTGCTTAAAAATGCAACACTTTAAAAATCTTCCAAACACTCCTGAGAGTTTAACCCAAGGTTTGTGTGCATGTGGGTTTTATGAATGGCTTGAAAGATCAGTCAAAAAGAAACACATGTAGTGTGATGTAATCTGTTGCAGTCAATATCTTTCTGTACAAAAACTTTTCTAGTCCTTTCTTGTCAGTGCACCTGTTTCAGCAGTAATACACTGAAGGCTTCGGGCCGCTCATAAGAAGGAACAGTAAAGTGTCTGGACTCAAAGGGAGCCACTTGCATAGACGCACAGCTGGTGTAGAGACCCAAGTCCTCTGACCTGCTTTCAAGGTGCAGAATATTTTTACCATGAAAGAAAGTGAATGAAAACTGCATTTTTTTTTTTTTTACTTTTTTAGCAAGACTGAAAATATCTCAAACATTGCATTTTCAACTTTTTTTTTTCTCTTGCTAGAATCAGCATCAACCTGGTTTACCTACACATTCTTCTTTGATGCTGTCCATTTACTAACAGAAGCATACATTCATTAGAGACAACAGAATAACACACAGTTTTCTGTGGTCATGCTTCTTACTTATCACTTTCTTTTCTTGTGTTTAGCATTCTTACTAAAAGATTCATTTGTTTAAAATAAAGTTGGAAGTCTCACCCGTTTCCACATACTGCCTACAAGGGCATCAGATGAACATGCAAAACTTGGGGTCCTGGTGCAGCTGTGTGTGAGTTGGAAACCAGTTCAAATGCAGAAGGAGAGTTAGTGTGTGGTTAATTCTTTAGTAAATAATCACCCTGCCCTCAGTTTATTTTGGTTATCAGATTTTACCACTTTGAGGGTCAGCCTTAGAATGCTGGAACATGGAATTCTGCACCTCCCCAAATAGCTCATAAATTTCTGAAACCACAGAGATGTCCTCTCAACCTCATATTTATAAGAGCTGGTCACTCTTTTGCTTATCACCTAGATTCAACATTTATTAGAATTTTGCCACCTTTGTTTCATCTATATTCTGAAGCATTTCAAAGTTAGTTACAGAATCTTGACACTTCATCTCAAAATCACCAAAAAATAGGGACGTTCTTTCTGCATAACGCCAGTTAACATTTTCACACCTATCAGTAGGAACAGAAATTCTCCAGTGTCATCTAATTCCCAGTTCTTGACTCAAATTCGTCATTGCTGCTTTTGAGAAGCATACGTCTTGAGAGACGCTAGGATTACGACTTCTTGATCTCGTTTGCATTCATCCATGCACTCATCCAGCCTCTGGCCAGGCCTTTTGCCAGCCCCTCGGTTGGACGGTAGGGCAGGTACCGCCCAGAGGCGCAGTGCCCACCGTGGTCCCACAGGGTGTGGCCTTCCCAGCGCCAGGACTCACCTCACTTTTCGTGAAGATTCCCGGGGTGTGTCTTGGGAGAGAAGGTGTTCTTGTTGAGCCTTAACATGCGTCTTTCTCAAATCATATGGGTGCAGGGACACTTTTCATTTATCGTTTGAATTGCGTTGTGGTACCGTAATGTAAAAAAGTAAAAAGCCTGACAACATGAAGAATTTAAAATGTAGCCAGCAGTAGGTGGCCAGCTCGCAGGGGCTGGTTTCCTCAGATTGTAGGTGGAGGGCTCGATCATACTTGCTCTGATTCTCCTCAGCCACATTGCTTCCGTCTCTCATTCTTATTTGTAGATAGAGCATACAGGAAGCTGTCAGTCTTTCTAGTGGTCCTCTGTACAACCACCTTTTCCTTTAAAAGTTGTTTAAATCACAGGGTAGTTTGATTTTTGTTCTACTCTTGTGGCCCTACTAGCAGGGTTTTATACTCTTAACACAAAGTACAGCAGTACCAGCACGTCTGCTGAAATGGTTTATTCAGAAGTAAATGATCGAGATGCCTGTCCTCCTTGTTCACGGTGGAAATATCCCTTCTAGGAGTCTGCTTTAAATCTGTTGGCCTGTGTCTTCTTTCCTCCTTCCTGTCCATGGTGAGTTTACTGTCAGTCAGAAGAGATCGCATCTTGGGGCTTCCCTGGCCGTCCAGTCGTTAAGGCTGCACACTTCCCGTGCAGGGGACTTGGGTTCCATCCCCGGTCAGGGAACAAGGTCCCACAAGTCATACAGCATGGCCAAAAAAGAAATCGAGTTTTACCCCTCGAGCCCTGCTCATGTCTCACCCTCCTTGACCTCCTGTAGGTCTTGCCATGTAGATCACTCATTAATAATTGGGAAAGATCCGGACGGAGTGAAAAGATCCAGGGCTTTGCAGCAGACAGACCGGGCTTGAGTTACCGTATTGCGTAAAGATGCGGCGCGTGGGTGTCGGCTGCAGGCAGGTGTAAACTCGGATCCCACCTCTGTGACCCAGACGGCCTTCATGACCTCTCCTCCTGGGGGTTGATGAGGTCTCTTTGTGAAGGGCTTACTCAGCCTAGTTCCTGGCACCCAGAACATGCCAAGTAAATAATTGCTGAAGGATTAAATAAATGAATTCACGGTGACCATCTGTATATTATGCCAACCATCCTTACCTTTGTATTGTCAGAATTAATCAAGAAAGTGCTATAAAAGAATTTAGTGAAAATCGTTCAGTCATGTCTAACTGTGAGTCCATGGACTGTAGCCCGCCAGGCTCCTCTGTCCTTGGGATTCTCCAGGCAAGAATGCTAGAGTGGGTAGCCATTCCCTTCTCCAGGGAATCTTCCCAACCCAGGGATCGAACCCAGGTTTCCATGCAGTTCCTAAAACACATCGGTGTTTTCCTGTTTTCTCCATCTTTCTGCCCTCTCCCACTCATCACCAGCTGCCTTATATTACCAATTACTGCTTTCACACTTATTTAAAAAACATTTAGTGACCAAAAGTTGGTACCCATTATTCAGACTCTTTCATTTGCAAATTATAGAAGTCTCGCTTAAACTGGCTTAGCCAAGAAAGGGACATTGGATCCTGGAACTCACAATTCCAGGGGATTGTCTAGGCCGGGGTGGGGGGGACACCAGTCCACCCCCAGTTTGGCGTTCTTGGAGGCAGAGACCATTCTTCTGGCTTGGCCACCCCCGCAGAAAGGATTCTTCCCATGGTCTAGCAGCGTTCCTGGCTTTCTGGTCACTTCCAAACCAGGGTGGGCTGGGGGAAGCCAGCCCTCCCAAACCCTTGAGACTGAAAATGAGGAAGGGTCGTTCCCATGGGGAAAAGAATCAGGGAGACCAGGCAGGCCCCAACAACATACTGCCCGTAGCATGTAGGCTGCACGGGAGAGACGATTACACAGATACATGCGTGTGTGCGTGGCATATGCAAGCAGAGCACACGCACGTGCAGTGCAGTCCTTGCTGAGCTAGTCTGGTTGGGGAGGCCAGACCGAAATCTCGATGGAGAATGTATGTGTGTTTCTGCCCCTGGGAAATCCACGGAGAGGAGCCTGGTGGGCTAAGTCCTTGGGGTGGCAAAGAGTGGGACACGGCTTGGCAACTAACATTAGCAACGTGTGTGTGTGTGTGTGTGTGTGTGTGTGTGTGTGTGTCTGAGACTACACACACATATATAAAGGCCCTGCCCTGTAGACAAGGGTGTTCTTTATTATTTCCTTTCTAACATTTCATCTCCCAGGAGAACGTTAGTACATAGTAAGTACCTTAAGTACATAGTTCTTGTTTAACCTGGACAGGTCGGTCATAATAGTCATAACTTCTTGACACATATGGTTCCAGTTCTACAAATTATTTTTAATGTTTTTTTCTCCAGATGATTAAAACAGTAACTCGCTTTATTGAACATGCGTGATTTTTGTTTGTTTAAGACAGTAATGTGCCGTAGAATTTTGTTACCAGTCTCTCGCTCCCATGGACGGGATGGGAAGGGACAGTGTTGAGTCAGGCCGAGTTTCCAGCTCGGTGCCCAGGTTGTGGCGGGCTCCACGTCGTAGGGCACAGGGCCTGTCTTGCAGAAGGTATGGGGTGGGGGGGTGGCCGGTGTCTGCCTCGTTGGCCTGTGAAGTCTCGATGCCCCAGGGTTTGCGGTTCTGCTGCCGTGTTTTCTCATCCTTTCTACAAAGTCGCTGCTGTTTCACCCAGAGCTGCGACATGCCAGCCCTGACTTGTCATCTCACCGGGTCCTCACTAAAGTCGCATCGGTGTCCCCATCTTCCAGAGCAGGAAGCTGCAGCTCAGAGAGGCTGTGTTCCCTGTCCGGGCTCAGACAGTGAGGCTGATTCCCAGCTCTGCCTCGCAGGTCTTTCCCCGTGTGACAGGTGGGGCTCCGTGAGACTCTGCACCCTTTCCAGTGGTCCAGCTATAGGATGGCCCTGGGCACGGGCTGAGGTGTCTATTACAGAAATACTTTTCATTTTGAGCATTAACTCCCCGGTTACGTACATTGATTTCATATGACGCATTAACGGGACAGAGCCTTGTCTGTGTGTGATTCTGTGATGAAAGCAGACCCGCTCAAGAACGTCCTCTCTGCCTCTCTCTGCAGTACACCCTGCGCTGTGACATGCGGCGGTCCCTGCTGGCCAAGGACTTGACCAAGACCTGCGAGTTCATCGTCCACTCCGCCGTAAGCCGGCCTCGGGGGCCTGGGCTCGGTAGCAGGACTCCTCTGCGGGGCCCGGGACTGCACCCACTGAGCAGCAGTGAGTTAGCTGCTAGTGCTCCGTGGGTGCTGGCCAGCAGCAGGGTCTCTGTGCACGTCATCCCCTGGGCCAGACCCGCCGGGCGATGCCCCTAGCCCCCGGGGTGCTGCGCCTGAGGGGTCTGGGCCTCACCTGAGGAGCCCCAGGCCGGGGGGCCCACCTTCGTCTCAGCAGACGGTGCGCAAGCCCGCCCTTGGTCCTGGAGGGAGGCATCATCTCGTCTGTCGAGGCCGCTTCCGTAAACAGCTGGGAGAAACGTGCCCGGCTGTGGGGAGGAAGGCCAGGGCCCTGCGTTCTCGGCCCACGAGGCAGGAACATGCTGGGGTGCTGGGGAGGGGGGCAGGGAGAGGCTCTTCTGACACCCTCTGCCGGGACTCTACATTACGGAGTGTCCTTAAGTGGTCCTTTCCCGTGCCAGCCGAGGGGCCCTATGTTGGGGCTGCTACTCGTGCCCATGGCCCTGGAGTCCCTGTGTCTCAGTCTCTCCAGCCCTTTGGGGCAGGGCCTCTTAACCCTGTTACGAAATGTCCACAGATGCCTTAGTGATGACTCACTGAAGATGTAAGACAGAGCCCTTCCGCATAAGATCAGCGAAATCACCGATGCCCTTGCGTCAGTGTTGTGACTTTTTTAGGATTTTCAATTATGTGTAGTTTCCCTCTTTATAAATTTTCAATACATGTTTCAGTGCTATGGTTTTTTAAAAAATATGAAAATATTTCTCATTTTTGGAAATCACTTCATTTAGAAACAGATATTTTCCTTCTGTCCAATCAAGGGTTTTCAAATGGAAGCTAAAATATTTTTCTTCTTCATGTAGATTATTCCCTAAAAAAAAAAAAAATCACATGCCATTTCATGTCTTTAATAAAACTCACATGCCATTTCATGTCTTAAATAAAAAGAGCCTCCACCTTTGTGAATAAGCCCCAATTCAGCCCCCTGTCCAGAGCTGGGCGCCCGGTGACCACTCAGGCTGGTGGCGGTGGCAGAGCCACTGGGGCTTCCTCCCTGCTCCTGGGGGTCACCCACAATTAGCCCCCAGGGGTCACGGTCTCTGTGAATAATTTCACTAGAAGGCAAACTATGCCATGACCCACAGTTGACAAGTTAAATATTCCTTTATGTGCTGTGAGGAAAAATATATTCACAAAAGAATATGTTCATGAACCTATTAGTAAAAAGAGTAGCTTCAAGAAGACTATTTCCGAGAGTAAGCTTTTGGTGAGTAAAGTGGGCAAACTGGTCGGGGCCCTTTCTCCTCCATGGCTCCCCTGCCATCAGAGCCTCAGTGTCCTTTGGGCCCCAACCTGTGAGTAAAAGGCACTGGGCAGGCCCCCAGGAAGCTTGGCTGTGTTGATGGATTCTGAGCCTATGTGATGGAGATGGTCATTGTTAACGAATTACTGTAACGCTGCTAATTAATCTGCTGCGTTACAGGTGTGAGTCTTCCTGGTAGAAGGTTAGTTGTACAGCTGAGTGGCTAACAGCACCAGCTGTGGAGCCAGGGTGCCTGGGTTTGACTGTCCATTCTGCTCTGGACTTGAGCGACCAGGTGAGCCCTCTGCCTCACTGACCTCATCTGCACAGTGGGTCCAGGGCCAGCAACAGCACTGCACAGGGCCATCACAGAGACACTTCAGTGTATGATTTTATTCTCAGAGACGGCTTCAAATAAACGTCTCCCAGTAATACCGCTCTGCTTTTAAATTCTGGACCTGAGAGGGACCTTAGAGACAAAGAAGCCTGGCCCCCCATTTTCCAGATGAGGAAACTTGAGTCATGGAGATGAAGACATTGGACAGACACGCCTTGTTTCCTGGCAGAACTGTGTTTTAGAACCCAGGCGCCCTGCCTCTTAGCACCAAGGTCTCCTGTTCTTGTGCTGCCTTGCATTTCCTGAAATGGGGAAAGACACGGTGGAGCTGTGGGACTCTCCTGACTTCAGTTCTTCCTCCTGGTTTAGCCTCAGAAGGGGAAATGGACTCCGAGCCCCGTGGACTTCACGATCACACCTGACACGTTACAGAACGTCAAAGAGGTAACGTGCTCCATACACCCCGGCACCAGGGCGACTTTCCTTCCTTCCCTCTCTCGCTCGGCTGTGCTGGGATTTCATTGCTCTGTGCAGGCTTTCTCTAGTTGCGTCCCCCCCCACCCCCCCACCATTGCAGCACCCAGGCTTCTCACTGCAGTGGCTTCCTGTGGAGCACAGCCGGTGTAGGCTCAGGAGTTGTGAGGGACCGACTGGATTTCAAAGACTCAGTATGAAAAAAGAGAATTTAAAGCATCATGTATAACTGTAAAATACTGATTGTATGTGGAAGAGACAATATTTTCAAGAATATATTCTTGGAGAATTTCGCCTCCTTCCTCTTAATTTTTTTAATGTGGCTAGAGAAAATTTTAAATTACACATTGGCTTCTTCACATTTGTGGCTTACTTCATGTTTCTATTGGACAGTGTGTTCTAAACTCTGAATTGCCTTCAGTAACTGGGATATGATCGTAGGAAAGACTGCTAGGCAGTGTCTCTAGCTCCTCAGATCTGTTCTTCCCATCACACCGTCACTCACCCATGGCCATATTCCTCTGTCCAAAGAGAAGAGGTCCATAGGCGTTTAGTCAAGCATGGAAGAAAAGTTGTTCTTTTCAGAAATAAAATTAATCTCTTGGTTTTTCAAAATTATGTAATTGGGGACATTTTAAAATTGATTTGATTATCTTTTTTTTTCCTTGGTGACAGGTTATCCTTAACACTCCCGTTAACCCCCTCAGACATTTTTAGAAATGTTGACTTCTTTATGACTGTGCTGGGTCTTCACTGCTTTGCGAGGGCTTTCTCAAGCTACAGCAAGCGGGCGCCACTCCGCTGCGGTGCGCGGGCTTCTTGCCGCCGAGCATGGGCTCTAGGGCGCAGGTCCAGCAGTTCCGGCACAGTGGCTTAGTTGCTCCACGGCATGTGGAATCCTTCTGGACCAGGGATCTAACCCAAGTCCCCTGTGTTGACAGGCAGATTTTTATCCACTGCGCCACCAGGGAAGTCCCTCAGACATTCTCATGTCATGGTGCTTGGTCACACAGAGTTGTGCAGACCTGAAGCAGGCACTCAGGGTGCTTTGGTGAGAGAGTTGGTCTTTGTCAGGTGCCTTAGGTCTGTAGATAGTCATTGAACTGTTCCGTCTGTTACTCAAGATGACAGAAGATGTAAGCGCTGTTGTCCATTTTTGCCAGTTTTGTCAGCCAGACTCCCAGTGAGTTTCCTGTAAATTACCAGAGTCTGTGTCCAGTTCTTCTTTGTATCAGAGTGGCTTGAGTCATTTCCTCTGGCACCTCCCATTCCTGATGTGTCTGGTTTTGTCTCGTTTCAGAGGGCCTTGCTCCCAAAATTTCTCATCAGAGGACATCTCAACTCAACCAACTGTGTGATCACACAGCCACTGACGGGAGAGCTGGTGGTGGAGAGCTCGGAGGCTGCCATCAAAAGCATCGAACTGCAGCTGGTGCGTGTGGAGACGTGCGGTAAGGCCCCCCGACTCTCTGCTAACACCAGCTCACAGCCACAAGCTTGCCTCTCGTCTCCAGGGTCCCGCAGAGCCAGCAGGACAGCAGGGGACTCTCCTGTCGATGCACCTTCTCCCAGAGTCACTGGCTGCTGCCTTGGCCTGAACAGATGTCACTGTGTCCTGACCCCACGATCCCCTCTCCCTGCTCCAGGCTGTGCAGAAGGGTATGCCCGCGATGCCACAGAGATTCAGAACATTCAGATTGCCGATGGGGACGTGTGTCGGGGCCTCTCCATCCCCATCTACATGGTCTTCCCCCGGCTGTTCACCTGCCCGACGCTGGAGACCACCAACTTCAAAGTGGGTACGTGCATGCCCTCGGGGTGCCCCTGGGAGGGGATGGATCTGCTGGTCTGCTGATCGTGGGTGCATCGCGGAGCACCCAGCCCTTTGGTTGCTGCAGAAAAACGCGTGTAGAGCTGGGTGGTGCCCAGGGTTGAACTTGCTTTGTCCCCCAGGAGACAGCATGGGCTGCTCACATGACGTGCTCTCTGAAGGACACTAACTTGGCCAGGGACCAGCCGGCCAAGCTCGTGGGGAGGTCGGATTGGCCCTCTGATGGGCTGGCATTTGATGGGGACACAAGACCTGTGAGAGCCCAGTGAACAGTCATCTTCCCAAGGGCTTTGGCTCTGGCACCTGAGGGGGAGTTGGTGCTTTTCTGTGATCACATGATAGATACTTGGACCACAAGATCTGAGTCGCATTAAGATGCACTTTTCAATCCTGCTTTTTCTCCCTTCACCTTGTATTGTGGTTGAATCTGCAGATAGAGAACTGCAGTCATGGTGGAAGTGCCAAATAAGGGGCAACCTGTAAATTCTGGGTGGGAGCCTCCCTGACCTTGGTTGTTCAAGGGTCATCTGCACCTTTGATTTTTAAGTTAAGGAGGAGGAGCTTATCTGTTGATTTTTCAACTTGATTTTGCTACGTAAACTTTAAGAAAGGTCCAAAAATCAATTTTTTCTGCTGCACTGTGCATTAGGCATCTGTACTGTCCGCACCTTATTTCTGTCAGACTTGACAAAGCGTCCATGTAACATTTAATGCAATGCCCATGATTCCTCCATAGAAGTAACGCCCTCAGCCCATCAGCCAAGACATCGGTGGTGCTTCTGTCCTTGTGGCTCATGTTTCGTTTGCTTGGGGGCTTGTGCAGTGGCCACCCCTTCAGCTGAGGGGGCCCCGCGGGAAGGAGGGGGCCTGCGGTCATTGAGCGCCGCAGCCTCTCCTTTCCCTGGGGTCATCGTCTCATGGTTGGGAGGTCAGGCTCTGTTCTCAAGGGGGAACAGGGTGAGCCCCGCGTCCTGAGTTAGGCGCACATCTCAGTGTGCCCCTCCACCCTGACGATGCCCACCTCGGGGGACCTCCTGGGCATGGTCAGGCCCGCAGCTGTCCCCAGCTGAGCCCATGGTCCTCTGAGCTGGGAGGAAGCCAGCCGCAGTCCTGTCATGGGCCGTCTGTGCCTGCTGGGCCTCCTCTCTGTCCCTTCCAGGAAGGCCATTGAGGTGGTGGGAAGACTAGGGCAGGATGGTGCTGGGCAGCCCAGAGGGTGTTGCGACCTGTGACAGCCATCAGAAAGGAAGGGAACACTTCTGCCCTGGCCAGTGCCAGGCCAAGGCGACGGCCATACGTGGAGATGCTGTCCTTGGGACTCCGGCCACAGGGGGGCCCTGGAGGAGCCAGCCCGCAGCCCCTTTGCTTCACGCTGGGGAGGGACCCGGGCTTGTCTCTCTTCGGGGGCCCCCTCCTCAGGTACCCCCTTCCCTGTCATCCACATGCTGACCCTTAGCACCTAGAGAGTGGGGGAGACTCCTCTGTTTGCTGAAGGTAGCGGAGGAAATGTTTGAAGAGGTGTCATGGGCAAATCAACCAGGCTGCAAAGGGATGGCCAGGAGACGGCTTGCCTTCTTTTCCGAGCGCTGTTTCTCACCTGGCCCGGGAGATGTGCTCCTGGTGGGCTGCATGGGGTCCGCGAGTCCACCCAGGACGGTAGGACAGGTCAAAAACAAAGCCAAAGTGCACACGTGAGCAGATGGGCTTCTATGAGATTCTGTGCAGTAGAGACAGAGGACAAGAGAGTATTTGAGAATGCGGGACCTTAACAGAGTACACCAATTTCTCCTGGAAGCTTGGGAGGGTGCGCGTGCAGACCCCCAAGGCAGGAGCTGCTGCCTCACTGTCCAGAGTTCGGCCGAGCCCGAGCGGGGCTGGCCTTCGGCTTCCGCCTCCGGGGTCGGTGAGCGTTGAGCCTGTCTGTCTTTTCTGTCCCTCAGAGTTTGAGGTGAACATCGTGGTGCTGCTTCACCCCGACCACCTCATCACAGAGAACTTCCCCCTGAAGCTCTGCAGGATGTAGCCGGGAGCAGGGGACTGCACTGCCAGGGCGCCCGTGGAAACGCAGTCATTCCCCGACCCCCCACCCCCCGCAGGAGCGGAAGCTGGCAGCACGGACCTGCATTCTCGGTGGTTCTGTATCCGAAAGAATCTGACCCTCCTTCCGCGTTTCCTCGAGGCTCCTCTCATCAGAGCTTCCCTTGGAAATGCGTCAGGATTTCTTAACAGTCTTGGCAAGATGGCTTCCCAGAGAGCAGGTGGTCTTCTGCCTCCTGACCAGACCTGCTCCCGTTCACGTTCAGGAAACAGTTAACAGAGGCTGAACTTTGCTGGAGAGCGAGGTCAGGGATGAGGAAACTTCTCGCCGGCAGTGACTCCCCTCCGCCCCGCCACCGCCGCGCCCCGCACCCCCCAAGGCGGCGGCTCTGGCGGCTCAGGACGTTGGCCACGCCCACCGAGGAGGGCACGGGGGCGCTCGCCAGGAGTGGGTAGCGGGTTTCCCTCTGTTTTCTACCATTTTTTCACGATAACGTCAAACCTTTTAGGGAACCTGGGGAAGATGTGCCTTGCCTTCCCAGGAGCGAGGGTCTGGAGACTATGGCTGGCGCTGGAATATTCCTCTCAGGACCTGCTGTGACGTGGCCTGCCGCCATCCTCCCAGAGTCGTTCCAGTGCGAGGTTATGTGAGGGGATCAAGACGCAGGTCCCCGCCGCCGTGGTGGGCTGGGTGCTGAAGGGCAGGACCCCCGGGCATGAAGACCCCTCCGTGCTGGGGGGGGGCCCAGACTCCAAGAACTTGCCTTCTCTCCTGGAGGACCTGTGTTGGGGGTGGGGGTGGGAGTTGGCTGGAAGTCAATTTCTCCCTCGCCTCCCGTGGGAATTTTCTTAGTGTAAGGTGGGTCTGTGACAACACATTTCTTCCTTCAAATCCTGCCACTGTTTCTGTGGGTCCACGTGAGTTCACCTCAGAAGTGCACACTTCCTGCCCTTCCCCAGCAGCACCTCGCCTGGCAGGCTTCAGCCGAGGGGGGTTCACGGCCGCCAGTGGTCCTTCCATTGTCCCAGGCCAGCTCTGGTGACCCTGATGCTGAGGGCAAACAGACCCGACTCAGGCTCTGCTCTACCCTCGGGCTTCACCAGCGCAACGGATACAACTTACTCACCGAGTCATGTAAAAAGGTGTTCCCAGAAGATACAGTCTAGTTTATACATTTCCTTTTATGTGTATCCAACATCAACAGCGATCTGACGCTGCCTTTAAACTAGACCAGCATAAAACAAGGAGTCCACGCTTCCGGGAAGTTTCACATGTAGAGATTGTTTCTGATGGGGGAATGAAACTAAATGAGAATTTGGAGCAAAGGTTGGGGACGTATATTCCTATGTAATGTCTTAAGTAAACCGATGTTACATACATAAATATGATTATTCTCCCTCAGGGAATAATCATCACTTGAAGAGTTGCCAGCAGCCTGGCCTCCTTTAGCATTTTGTTCAAACTCGAGGGACCTGGGCAAGGGCCTTTTCCTTGTCCTCCTCAGACGGGCACCTCCACCATCAGTTGTTATGGAAAACTCGGATGTTTGGGTGTTTTGGGCAGTGGTCCAACTACTGACCTCGCTGGAGTGTTTAGTGGTCATGCTCTCCCATTAGAACAGGAGGAAGGGGAAGTGAAGGGAAAAGACCATGAACCTAGAAGAGTACACTTTTCTTGGAAAAGCCCGGTTAGGCCAGAGGACCTTCAGGCTCTCGGTGCTCCAGCAGAAATGGGAGCCTGGCTCCAGTTCTCAGCCTTGTGCATTCCACGGGAAAGGTGGAGAAGTCAGTCAGAAATAAAATGTTTTTAAAAAACCAGAACATCATTGTGGTTCCTTCGGTATGCCTTTAGTTGTACAATATCTTCATGTAGGCTCTGGTCTTTTTCTTCAATGGTTATTCTGTGAATAGTTGTAATTCTGGTGTGCTCACGAGCTGCAGCAAGCTCAAGGTCTTCCTGCCCTTTCATCTCAGCTCATCTCCCTAGTACTATATTACTGTTCATTGCCAAATAACACTCCATTTTGTAGATACACCACACTGTTTTATTCACTCATCAGTTAAGATACATTTGAGGTGATTTCACTTTTTCATTATTAAAAATTCAGCTGTGAGCGTTCATGTACAATCTTTGGTATGGACATACATTTTTATTTCTCTTAGATCTATATCTAGGGGTAGAATTTCAGGATCATATGATGGCTCTGTTTAATCTTTTGGGGAGCCACAAAAATGTTTTCCAAGCATCTGCACCATCTTACACACCCACCAGTCCTGCACAAGGTTCCAACTTTTCCACAGCCTCGTCACCACCTGTAATTGCCACCTTTTTTATCATAGTCATCCTGGTGGGCATTAAGGTGGTCTCGTAACTCTGATGTGCATTTTCCTAGTAACTGATGATGATGAGCATCGCTTACTGTGTTTATTGCTGTGCTGTGTTTGGTTGTTCAGTCGTGCCCGACTCTGCGACCCCATGGACTGTAGCCCGCCAGGCTCCTCTGTCCATGGGACTCTCCAGGCAAAAATACTGGAGTGAGTTGTCATTTCCTTCTCCAGGGGATCTTCCCAACCCAGGGGTCGAGCCCAGGTCTCCCACATTGCAGGTGGATTCTTTAACCTCTGAGCCACCAAGGAAGCCACATCATCTTTGGAGAAGTATTTATGCTGATCTTGTTTTTTTAAATATTTATTTGGCTTCGTCAGGTCTTAATTGTGGCACGCAGGATCTTTGTTGCCGCACATGGGCTTCTCTCTAGTTGTGGCACAAGGACTCCAGAGTGCACAGACCCCAAGACATGAGATCTTAGTTCCTTGACCAGGGAATACTAGCCATAAAGAAGTATGAAATACCTCCATTTGTAGCCACTTGGATGTACATGGAGAATATTATGCTTAGTCAAATAAGGTAGAGAAAGATAAATACCATATGATATCACTTATATGTGAAATCTAAAAAATAATACAAGTGAATGTATGTACAAAACAATGGAATTCCTTGGCAGTCCAGTGGTTAGGACTACACATTCACTGCAGGGGACCTGGGTTCGATCCCTGATTGGGGAACTAAGATCCCACACCCCACAGGCCACACAGCCTGGCCAAACAAAAAAACCAGACACACAGATACAGAAAATAAACTTGTGGTTACCAAATGGGAGGGGAGAAAGGGGAGGGACAAATGAGGGGTATGGGATTAACAGATACTACTGTATGTAAAATTGATAAGCTACAAGGATATACCATATAGCACAGGGAATTATATACATTTTATTGTAATAACCTATGGAAAATAACCTGCAAAAATACTGAATCATGAGAATTTCCTGGTGGTCCAGTGGTTAGGGCTTGGTACTTTCACTGCCAGGCCTCAGTTGGATCCCTGGTTGAGGAACTAAGATCCCACAAGCTGTGAAGCTTGGCCAAAAAAAGAATTATCACTATGCTATAACCTTTAAACTTAACACATTATTGTAAATCAACTATATTTCAAAACAATTTAAAAAATATTTTGGGAGTTAGAATTCCAGGTTTAGCATTCCAAGTGGTTAGAATTCCAGGCTTTCACTGCAGTTGTCCATATTCAATCCCTGGTTGGGGATCCGAGATCCCAAAAGTTGCATGATTTGGCAAAAAAAACCTTTTTTTATGTATTCCAATGCATCACTGATGGGACTGTAAGTTGACATACATCTGGACGTATGTATACACACATAAATACATTTATGGTTCAGATTAAGGAAAAGATTGAAAACATCTACAAGAATTTTTTTAAAGGTAAAGAATGCTATGATAAATTTCCACATTACATGTGACGTTAAATCTTTGGTAACGTACACAATTCATTCTGGGATTTATATAAACCTGAAACAAGCCAACAAAACAGTAACAGGTTAGAGAATGCTTGAGAAAAGAGCTAGGAAATATGTGACACCTGTGAAGAAGAGATTGTGTGACTCGGATAGGCTGTAGGACCTGGGGATGGAGGGTGGGCATGGATCTGTGTGTCTGTGTGGGCTCAGTCATGTCTGACCCTTTGACGCTATGGGCTACTCTGTTGTAGCCTGCCAGGCTCCTCTGTCCATGGGAATTTCAGGAGTGGGTTGCCCTTTCCTCCTCCAAAGGATCTTCCTGATCCAGGGATTGAACCCAGGTCTCTTGCATCTCTGGCAGTGCAGGCAGGTTCCTTACCCTTAGTGTTGCCTGGGAAGCCCCAGGCCCCAAGGGTGGCCGTCAGCTACTAGGCCTGGGGTGGCACACCTCAGTCCATGCCCACGGTCCCACCCACACCAGGCAGTAGTATCTGTGTCCAGCTGAAGTCGCCCAGGCAAGCAGAGAGGAGAAAGGAAGGCTGCTGTTTCCCTGTTGAGTCTCAGTCTGGCTTGTAGTTTGTGACAACAGCTAACACTTACCTAGCACTTAGCGTGCACCAGGCACTGTCCTCGTGCCTTACATGAATTAACTTCTAATTCTTACAGCAGGCCTATACAGAGAGCACTCTCATGTCCCCATCCTACAGACGAGGAAACTGAGGCGGTGAGAGGTCAGTGTAGCTTCCCAAGGTCTCCTAGCGGTGAGTGCTGGAGCTGGCACTGCCAGTCCCCAAATTGGCCCCCGACTGCGGCAAGGGAGGCAACCAGGCCTTCTCAAGGAAGTCCTTCCAGGCCGGAGGTGAACGTGATTGCTTCAGTCGTCCAAGTGGCTGGCATCCACAGGTTCACTGATCCTCCGCCTTGGCTGCATGTTGGAGGTGTCCAGGCTTTTCAAGCCTACAGGCTTGATTGGACTGATTCCTCTAAACGTTGAGAAGAAAGCCCAGGCCAGCAGCTGGTGCTGCTTCTCATCGAAGCCAGAGGACCACCACCTGTGCAGAGGCTGCGCTCATCGAAGACTGGGCTTTCCGGCAGCTCTCTAACTTCACCCTCGGATACAGAGCAGTCATCTGGGGGAGCAAGGATTTCCTACCCTCCCCTGGGCCCAGCTCAC